ATAGCGCTCGGCATCGTGCTGGCTGGAAAGATGAACTCCTGTTTGGATGCTTGTCGGGAAGGGACTGTGCTGATTTAGACTTGTGCATGGAGTCCTTGCTGCCTGACACTCGGCCTTGGTTTTGTTTTGGCTTTTGGAGATTTTTGGCTGTCTGCTTTTCTTCATGTTGTCTTAATCCACAATAACTATATGGATATGTGCTTGGACCTGCTAAATATTTTAATTTTGCATAGTTGGCTGCTTGAATTGTAAGTAATCTCTTTGGACAATGCAAACTGAAAGAGCTTGAGAAGCTGTCAGTGAAATATCAATTTACAAAAGTTTATAATTAAGCTTTGAAATGTATGTTCATTAGCTATTATATATTTTGAGGTTTGCTATTTTACCACAAGTAAAGCTGAAAATTCAAGAGCTGATTCCATTCTGTATGTGGCCACTGTAGCTAGCACAGATAATACTGTTTCTTTTATAGTAAACCCTGTTGTTGGCCAGGATTGCTCTAAGCTGTTAAAGCAGTGCAGTCTGAGTGACTTTGTACTGCCACCTTCATAATGTATGATTGACTCCTAATGGTGAAGTGGTACCAGCGGCTGGAGAGGGGCAGTCCGTAGTTAAAGGAGCCCTGCTCTTACAGAAGACCTCCATATCAGGCAGTTCACAACTGCCTGTGACTCCAGCTCTGCGGATCCAACACCTCTGACCTGAGGGCACTAGCATGCACAGAATTCCAAAATAATGAAACTGAAAAAAAAAAAAGGAGTGCTTTCTAAATATGTGGTCCTCTCTAGCTTGAGAATTTCATACACTTAGTGATCTAAAACTGTTCATTTGTGTCACTATTTATGCTCCTTTAATTTGAAAGGTTTTAAAAATGAAGAGAAATTATTCCTTAGAGAAAAATTCATGCAACAGGCAAAAACCTACTAAATTAGCTATCCTAAATCCAAGTTTGGTCCTAGAACTAATTTAGTGCTTCTGTTAAGTTACTTCCTTGAGCTTTTTTGTTCGTGTAAATGCAGATAACAATCTATATTGCATAAGACTAACATAAAATCAAGTAAGTACAAAAGCATGTAATAAAGTGCCAGTTTGTATTGCCTTATGTGAATGGAACCACAGTATATGCAGTATTGGGCACAGTCATCTACATGCTGTTGTTCTAGTCTGGCCGTAGGAATAGGTGTATAAATAAAGATGGCTAGGTCAGGAGTATCTCAGATCAACCGTTCAACATGGATTTCTCTGACAACTGGCAGATCAGGATGAGGATGAAAAAGAATAGGATGCTAATTGGCTTTGTTTTTTGAAGATGTCCATAAAGTACTGCCTACTAATAACACAGATTTCATATAATGTTTTGTAATTTATGAAGTATTTTATATAATTTTTAGGAGTATAACTAATGTTTTGAGTACATTTCCTATGTTAATACAAAGGACAAGTAATAGGATGTTTCAGAGGTTGACTTAGTCAAATTACTAGCAAAATGGAAATCTGTATTAAGTTGTCAGTTTTCAACTTTTTAATTTAGTTTTGTTATTGAGACAGGACCTCACTCTATGTAGTCCAGACTATTCTCAAACTCACTGTTGTAGACCAGGTTGGCCTTGAACTCATGGAGAAACTCTTGCCTCTGCCTCCCAAGTGCTGGGAATAGAAGCATGTGCCACCATGCCCAACCCATTAATTTTTCTGGGTGGTCTCATCCCCCTCCCCCATTTCTCACTGTATACCCTAGTTGTCTTTGAATAACTTCCTCCCATCTTAGCCTCTTGAGTGTGGTTAGAAGACTGTCCACCATGTCCAACTGGACTTCAGATCTCGTGCAATTCCTACTTCACCCTGCTGGCCCTGCCCCACCTCTACTTCAGTGATCAATCCCTTTCTGCAGCGGGTGTACTGTAAAATGCAGAGAAGTTCAGGTGTCTGTTTATGTGTTGAGATAGAATGTAGCCCCCAAGGGATTCTGGCTTCCACCTCTTGTTAAAAGTCATTGTCTTAATTGTCCCTTTCCCTCTCCCTTATCTGGATGTGAAATTAATACTTAGATTGTAAGGGGCCAGAGATGTAGAATGGTACCAGTTCCTTTCTTAACTACTCCCAATGTGTTAGGTTGGTGATGGACACTTTGAAAAAATGCAGTTCAGTTTTCACATTGCACGGTGATTTTTTTTTTTTTTTTAAACTGTAACAATGGTTTTGGGTAGGCTTTGAAGGGGGGGGCTTTAAATTTTGAAAATCTGAGCATTTTTTTTCCCTCGACGGTGATTATGGGGTTTTATTTTAAGAATGAACATAACTTAGTTGCTTACCAAATTACATTTGAGCATTGAATAGCTGGCATGTTAACATTGGCTTTTAATTGTCTGATAGTCTTACAGGAAGCTATTTCCAGCCCAGGTTGACCTTTGACTGTAGGTTCATGTCTGGAGTGTTTATGTGTGGGTATGTTTGTCTTGATACTGCAAGTACAGTTGCCATTGTACTGGAGCTGAATAGAATTAAAGATCAAAATAACTGGCTTTAATATAGCCTTTGGAATTAAGATACTATCTGAGCATTCATACTTGCACCCATCAAGTTAAAACAGTATTACATAGAATTCTTAAAATGTAATTCTTGCCGGGCGTTGGTGGCTCACACCTTTAGTCTCAGTACTTGGAAGGCATAGGCAGGCGGATCTCTGTGAGTTGGAGGCCAGCCTGGTCTACAGAGCGAGTTCCAGGCCAGGCTCCAAAGCAATACAGAGAAACCCTGTCTCAAAAAATAATAATAACAATTCGTATTCTTAATTCGTACAGTCTTAAAATATAATTTTATAGATTGGATTTGCCATTATTGTGTTTTGTAGGTAAAATAAAATACTATTTTTAAATAGAAGTTTTAATTAGATGTTTAAGTTTTAATAAATACTAAAATTATCATAGCAAAGTCTTTTTAAAATAGTTATTATAAAGAAATGAGACTTGGTTATAGGTTGGCCTTGAAATGTTAGAAGTCAGTTATTTTTCTTTGAACCATATATTCAGAGCATGTTAAAGTTCTACATATTTCTATTTCATGTTGAAGAAGCTATTATGTGGAGTTACAGGAAAATGGTTCTCAAATGTTCATCTCATTCATCCTATTTTGTGATGAGACTTGAGAGTTATTTCCTACGGAAGTCTGGGTGTATTGTCAGTGATCTAGGAGAGACTGTTACGTTTTAAGATGAATGTGTGCTGCAGTTTTGTTTGCTTTTAATTGCTTCTTTTGAGACAAGGTCTCTGTATGACACAGCCTAACCTTGAACTTGCCGTCTTCCTGCCTAAGCTTTCTGTGTGCTAGAATCATGTGTTATCAGTTATTGGGGGGTATGTTTTTCTTACTTGGGTTATATAAAACCAATCATAATTATTTATGGGTTGCATAAAAATAGTGCTTCATTTTTAAAGTTTATTAGAAAATTTATTTGCAGGTTTGTGTCTTTGTGAATAAAATCTATATGGTAGGAATATACTTTTTTTTTTTTTTTTTTTTTTTTTTTTTTTTTTTTAGGATTACAAACTTTTACAAAGTGTTTTTTCTGTTTGGCAGTGCTGGGGATGAAGCCCGTCATCTTTTTTTCTCCCTGCTGGCTGTTTGTTCAGTGCTTTACTGTGAATTGGGTCCTTAAATGATGGGCTGGACACTAAGACTTTACTGGAGATAAAGGAGGGGCAAGGGAAGAATGCTCTACTGCAGGGAGCAAACAGGGAAAGGGAAAGGCTTGGGTCCAGCAGGGTTGCCCATAGTGCCCCTCGGGGTCAGCAGAAAAACAGTGGAGTGCAACTTGAGGGAGGTGGTGTGACACTGGCTTTTTTCCTCCCTGCATTAGTTGCTTTTCATGATGCAGTAGCTTATGAGCACCGATACCTTTTTATTCACGGAAGTTGTTCATTACCAGGCTTTTCTGTGGACCAAAATAGACTTTTCCCTCCATTTGCTGTCTCAGAATGAATCATTGAGAGGGAGCCACACTATTCCCTGCAGGTTTTTTTTTTTTTTTTTTTTTTTTTTTTTGTATTCTGCAGTGATGGCATGATTTTCAGCATTTTTAAAGGGCACAAAGGATTTCTAACTAACGTGCTAGTTCAAGCAGGGTTAAAATTGAACATTAAACTGGGTATAGTGTCATATACCTTTGTTCTCAGCACTCAGGAACAAAAGAATTTGAAGCCAGCTTCATGTACATAATGAATGTGGGTCATCCAGGGCTGCATACTAAGACCCTATCTCAAAAATAAATGGAGAGACAGATAAAAAATAACATTGAGACAATTTAAATTACAACCTCAGAACCCATTAAAGGAATATCTGCTTTGTAGTAAGGGGTTTTCCTTGGGGTATTTTAAACACCATATAGTTTCCAAGATACCTCACTCAGTACTGTCTGGCAGCCCTCTTGGATCACCTTCTGCGGTTGGTGTGGTATTGTCATTGGGAAGGGCTGTGAAGAGTTTCCTCCTGTGCCAGTCTCTGAAACACTCAAGTTTCTTAGTCATTTTCAGAATTTATACAAGAGCACTGATATCCTTCTGCATTTTATTTTATTTTTGAGATAAGCAACTTTTTTTTAGCAGTTTCCTGTTTGGGGTGATTTTTATTTCTTTTAATTAAAAAAACTTACGGTGTTTATTCGTGCCTTTTCAGCCATAGTACACTAAACTTTTTTTGAACTGTCCTGAATACTACTAATATTGATACACACCAGAAAGAATATTGACTTCAAATTACACATGTCTGAGTTGTTGACTTTTTTTGGATCAGAATCTTGTAGTCGGTCCTTGCTTCCTCTTATGCCTCAGTGAAATGGGAATGTAAGGCACTGCCCGGAAGCAGATTGATGTGATGGGCTTCATTCAGTGTGAACAGTACTTTGAGTACAGGTGCGGCGTTTTATATCGTTGTGCAGGTGTAGTAAACTATTCTCTGGTGGCTTTGGTTTTCACCTTGTACTGAATTCAGTTTTTTCTTCACAGAGGATGTGCTAAGTAAAGATACTGGGGAATGTGCAATATGCCTTGAAGAATTGCAGCAGGGAGACACCATAGCACGACTGCCTTGCCTGTGTATATATCATAAAGGGTAAGTTTAATATTACTTTAAGTTGTTATTAAAGCAACGTGATTCTTCTCTTCATTTCAAACATTGTAGTTAAAGCTAAAAAGTTTCTTCATTCAAACTCTTCTGCTCAATTTAGAATCTCAATAACACCCCACCAACCTCCCCTTCTCCCCCTTGCTCAGAACAGACATCTGTTGTATCTAAAAGACTGCCATTTTTACAGCACTTAGTGTGGTGCAGGTGTTTTCAGCTAGGTCAGCCAGTGGTCTGTGTAAGCCCAGCAGCCACTCCACACTACAGCTGGGAAAGGAGACAGTAGCAAGTTTCTTTCTCCATGACTCTTTCTAACAAACTGCAAGCTGAGAGTTCAGCAGATTGGGAATTCCAGGAGATTGACTCCAATTCCCATCTGGTCTTTTATACATTCTTTTTGCTTTCAGAATAATACAGAACAATTTTTCATTTAAAAAGCAAAGGTAGGCATGGTAGGGCACTTCTTTAATCACAGCACTCAGGCAGAAGCAGGTGGATCTCTGAATCCTGGACAGCCTGGTCTACACAGTGAGTTCCAGGGCTTGTAGAGAGACCCTGTTGCAAAAACAACCACTATTTAAGGTAGCAGCCACATAAAGACTAGAAAATTGGGGACTGGAGAGTTGGCTCAGGGGTTAGGTGCACACACTGGTCAGCTCAGTTCCCAGCATCTATGTCAAGCAGTTCACAACCACCTGTAACTCTGCAGTTTAGGGGGAGGTATAGACAGCAGGGTCCAGAACCTCTGGCCTTGGAGAACACAGCACTCAAATTCACATATCTACACATATACACACAATTAAGAGATAATAAAATACATTCAAATTTTAAAAAAAGAATAGGAAATTGTAGCATTCAAATCAAGGGAAAAATGTGTAATTTTACTTAAAAATGGAGGGAAGCAAAAATAGAAATCAGAATAAATAATTCTAAATAAGGAGACAAAAAATAAATCCAAACATACCAGTAATTATATGTGTAAGGATAAACTGAAAGTAGGTAAAATATTAGAATATGATATTGATAAGCAACATGCTTTAAAGGTACGGACAAATACAGAATTAAATGGGTAGAGAACTATATCCAGGCAATAATAACTAAACTGATGGTATGTACCAACATCACACAGAGTAACATCAAAGGAATCATTACTTAGAATAGAATTCCTGAAAACTCTTGATGATCTGTGTTAACATAAAAATTGTTAGAAGAAACTGATAGCTGTGTTATCATAATGGAAAGTTTTTAACTTTTCCTGACTAAATAAGCAAAGTAAATGGTCATGATACAGAAAAATTGAGCCATTTCAGCTTGCCAAGTTTTGATTTTGTTTGTTTTTGCAGATAAAATCTAACTGCATGGCCCAGGATAGCTTCAAAAGTCCCATGTAGCTTAGGTTAGGCTTCCCTCACACTTGCTCCTCCCTCAGGCTCCTGAGAACAGGTATTTGAATGTACTCCTGTGCCTGGCTCCCAGCTTCCCAGTCTCTTTTCATTTCTTGGTACTGGAGTGAGAGTTTAGGGCCTTGCAAGGACTAAGCCATTCTTTACCACTAAGCTGCATCCCCAGCCCTGTGGTGTTACGAGCAGGTTTGACAGTGGGTTCTGCCAAGCAGAGAATAAGATGGAAAACAGCAGACAAGGACTGTGAGCAAAGGAAACTTAAATTGCAAAAATCCAGATTTAACAATGCCTGTCTAAAATTGTGTCTCACGCTAGGGATAAGCTCAGTGGAAAACCACTTGCTTTAGGTCCTGAAGCCAACTACCAGTAACACATACATACACAGAATAAACAAACAAATGACCAAATAGGATCAGATCTATAAGATGAGACTATTAACTCAGTAAATGAGGAAGCTCTAAGGAAAAGTCTGTGTGTGTTCATTGACCTTCAAAGCAAAAATCTCAGGCTACAGAATAGGTGACTTATTAGAACTGAGCCAGTGAGATGGATCAACAGGTAAAGGCAGTTGCCGTCAAGCCTGACAACTCAAGCTTGTTCCTCCAGACCCACATGGCAGGAAGAGAGAACCAGCTCCCAGATGCTGTCCTCTTTCTCCACATGCACACCAGGGCAGCTGCATACATGCACATACATGGATGGATGGATGGATGGATGGACAGACAGAAAGATAGGGATTAAAAGTCATTAAAATAAAATAAATGAGAGTTTATTGGGTTGCCAGATAGGTGATATACATGTGGAAATTGATATCTTCATGTCCCATAAAGAAAAATGATGTAGATTTTTTTCTTTAAATAGCAGCAAAGGCTACAAAAGCAATAATGTATTAGGGATAACTTCTAGAAAAGATATATGAGACGCTCCTTTAAAAAATTTAAAACTAATGAAACATAGGGAGGGTCTCTAAGATTAATATACATGTAAAGCATATTGTGTATAGAAAAACTCATTATTATAGAAATTTTATACACACACACACACACACTAATTAGCCTATATAGTTAATGTGATCCCTATCCAATCTAGTTTCTTGTAACTGTATACAGTGTACAGTGTTTTACTTTTGAAGAATAATCCTGTTAGGATATATGCCCTAAGAGATACAGAAATTAAACAGTACAGATAGACCACAGCAGGGACGGGACATAAGGACATGGATGGAGGCTGCAGTCAGTCAGCCCTTCCACTAATTAATTTACTATGTGATTTTAAATGGGTTTTAATTTTCTTGTCTCTGAATGTTTAAGGTAAGGGCAATAGTACAAACTTCATATAGTTGTGAGAACTTAAATGTTAAATTTTGGGAAAAGTTAAAAAAAAAAAAAAAAAAGCTTTGACTCTTAGGTCGTGTTACAGTGTCATAGGCCGAGCAAGCTGTTGATGAGTGGTGCTGGGATCAATTGGTTATTGATAAGGAAAACCAGTTGAATCATTTTTTGTAGTTTGAAATAAAAATTGTAGGTTGTCTCCACAATACCTGTGAAAGTAGGGGAAAATAGGAATATTGTTTTGATTTGGTAAGAAATTTTCTTTTGCTTAAGATATTCCATTTATCCCTCTACCTCCCCAAAATAAGCTTAAGGATGCTCAAAGATGGCTCAGCAGCTAAAAGTTGTTCTGTTCTTGTCAAGAGGACCTGAGCTCAGCTCCCAGGTTTCACATGGTGGCGCAAGCATCCTGTATATCCACTTCCAGAGGATTTGACAACTTAGAAGATTGATAACACTGACTGTTAAAAATTATAGCATATTTGCATTTGAGATTAAAAACTAGACTTTGTAATGGAAATGGCTTTTAACATGACAAAAGTTTTGTTTGAAATAACACACTGTCCTTTGGTTAGCTGCTGTGGCAGATAGAAGCATGATGGTGTAATGACATGGTAATACTATGTGATACCATGTCCATGTGATATCTTTTATAGCACCATAAGTGCTACTTTGTACAGCTGCAGATGAGAGCACACTTGAATACAACCATGCAGTAATGAAGTGTTGAAGGGCACTCATCTCCCATGGCCCTGCTTGGATCCCATCAGGCTATGTGTTTCAAAAGAGCCCAGGTCACAGTTCTCAGTTTTATGTGCCTTGGCTTTTGTTTTCATGGCCTATCAGTCTGGGTTCTTCTTTAATTATATATGACAATGAACTCATTACATTTCAAAAGTACAATATTTATTAGAAATGAACGTGTCTTTTTGGTAACAAATTATACTGTGTGGTCTGCCTTTAATCTGACTTTTACCATCAAACCTTGTTACTTTGAGTTTATAATTTTTGTAGAAAGGTTTATTAAAAAACACTATACAGTGCCAGGCATGGAAGTATCTACCAGTAATTCCAGTATTTAGGAGGCTGAAGCAGAAAGATCTCAAAGTTGTGATCAGCATAGCAAGTCCATGTTTAAGATCCCTGACCTCAACCCAAATATATATCATAATTGAGATACCTACTAGTAGCTTCTTGAAAATCTGTAAGAAAAAAAAAAACTATAGAACATTAAAAAATAAAAAACAAGAAAATAATTGTGGCTGGTGATAATAGTTCAGTGCGTAAAAGTGCTCACCCCCAAGCCTGACAACCAGAGTTTGCCCAGGATCCTCAGGTGGAAGGAAAGAAGTTGCTCCCCAGGGCTCTGGCCACCACATGGTCACCAAAGCACACATACACCAAAGCCCATAAATGAATAAATTTTGATGAAAGGTTTTTGACAGTGGAAAATTGTTAGTAATCAATTCAGTAAAGAGGCATGTACCATAGTTACAGTGTATATGCCACCAGTCAGTCCCATATACCATAGTTACAGTGTATATGCCACCAGTCAGTCCCATATACCATAGTTACAGTGTATATGCCACCAGTCAGTCCCATGTACCATAGTTACTGTGTATATGCCACCAGTCAGTCCCATATACCATAGTTACAGTGTGTATGCCACCAGTGAGTCGCATAAACCATAGTTACAGTATATATGCATTCAGTCAGTCGAATATACCATAGTTACAGTGTATATGCCACCAGTCAGTCGCATATACCATAGTTACAGTGTATATGTCATCAGTCAGTCAGTCTACTCTCAAGTCTGTGCTGCAGAAAAGTCTAGAGAAAGCAGCTACTGCCCAAAATTAAGACCAAGAGCAAAGAAGGCATCTCAACCAGGGTGTGACCCAGTGCTGAGAACATCTTGCTGTGGCTTTCTACAAAACCAGCTCAAACTAAGTAGTGAGAAGATTAATTTATAATTTTCATGGCCTTTCAGAGACTTCATAGATAACTGTGTCTATAATCAAAGAATAAATAAGTAGATTGTGATATACTCTTTGTCATTATTTATTTTGAAATAATATCTCATGAAGTCTTCTAGGCTGACCTTAAACCTAAAAATCTTACTGCCTCAGCACCCAAGCAGCTTGGATTATATAGGCTTGTGCCATCAAATTCATGTGCTCTACTTACACAGTGGGATACAAATTTAAAAGCACTTATGAAGATGGCAAATAAGGCATAATATTTATGGTAGCACTAATTTGAAACATGGGGCAGTATTATATGTTTTTTTAGAGTTAGGTGGTAAGAAAATGCCTGAGAATAAAAAGTACTAAATTCAGAATACTGATTTCCGTTTGGAACTGTTGGAAACGGGTATCAGAGTCTAAAAACCAATGAGGTAGTTTACAGTAGAAACTATGTGAGTTGATATTAGTTTACAAGGAATGGGATTGGGAGAGTTATTTACTGCCTTTGATGAGCCCAGATTACATGGTCATAAAGTAAGAAGCTGTCTTTTAGACTGCACAAGTACTATTCAGAGGCACTATGAGTGTAACCACAGCTGGAGGGTTTGGTGTTTGGTTTATTTTTATTTATTTATTTATTTATTTATTTATTTATTTATTTCTTGAGATGGGATTTCTCTGTGTAACAGCTCTGGCTGTCCTGGAACTCACTTTGTAGATCAGGCTGGCCTTGAACTCACAGTCGATCTGCCTGCCTGTGCCTTGAAAGTGCTGGATTTAAAGGCATAGTTGTACCACCACTGCCCTAGGCATTTTGTTTTAAGATGTACTTTTGCAGATGGGAGTTTTTTTTTTTGGTTTTGTTTTGTTTTGTTTTGTTTTGTTTTGTTTTTTTTAGGGTGCAGTAGTATAGACCAGACTGAAAACATGTGGTAACCGCAGTGGGGTGTGATATTTAGAATAAAGATTATAGTGGTATCAGGAGTTGCTTTAGTTGCTTGGAAGACATGACTGTTGAGGTAGTTTTACCTCTTTTCTATTACTTTCACCCATGGAGCCACCTTGTTGGGGTATAAGAATAGCATCTCTTCATTTATACCTTCAGCAGTACTAACTAACCTGGATTTATGAACATGCAGGTATTAATATGTGCCACCAATAAGAACTCTGAGCAGTTTGAATCCTGCCTTAGTGACTCATACGCTGCTGGCCGAGTTACTGGTCCTTTGAAGACATTGATGTTATCATTTGCCACAGCTCTGTGAAATTGAGACAGTGGGGGAACAGTGTGTACATTTTTTTGCACAATGAGGAAATGTGTTATATTGTGCTGACATGGAACAGCCGTTACATGTCACTACTGAGAGTGCACGAAATGGGACTGAGAAGCTGGATTCTGTTGTTAAGCTAATGAATTTAAATAATGACTGCATTGGACAGTGCAGATCTATATTAGGAATAATTATAGGTTGCGAAGATAGCTCAGTGAAGTGCTTACCTTGCAAGAATGAGGCCCTGGGTTCAATCCTCGGAACACACATATATTAAAGTTGGTGTGGTGACAAGTACTTAATAATCTAAGTACTATGTGCTATGGAGGTGGAGATGGCTGGGTCCCTGGGACTCACTGGACAGCTATCCTCACTAACATGATGAGTGAGTCCAGGCTAGTGACAGGCCCTGTTTTGTTTGGGGTTTTGGGGGGTGGTATTTAAAAGGTGGGCAGCACTTAGGGAATGACCTCCAAGGTTGTGTCTGGCTTCCACATGTATGCACACATACATATACAGGCATGCACATACATATACATACACAAACACAATGAAAGGATAATTACATGTACCCTGTACATAATTTCTAGTAAGATCGTGAATACTCTATAAATTCAAATAGATTAGATCTGTGTATATATGGACTGCAGAGCAGATTGGGATGGAAGGTTCAATAATAGCATATAAACATGGAATTTTTAACTGTTATGTAATATTGTCAAGAAATAAAATTTTGAACCTTTTTTTAATTATGTTGATAGGCAAGCTGAACAGCCCTGTATGTAACATTTGAAAAGGAAATGGTTTTGTAATTCTTTTGAATATTAATGAAATCGTAGTTCTTTAAGGGAATAGTTAACTCTTTTTAAATGTGAAAATGTGTCATAATATAATTGTTGGAGGATTTCCCCGTTAATAATGTAAAATAACTGAAGTATAATTAACATCTTTTACTGTATTTGTCAGGTGTGATCATTAAAAATACTGATCTTTTTTCCCCTCTAAAGGCACTAAAGTAGTAGATGTTTTTATTATGGCTGTTAGAATATCATTATACATAGGATTTATACTTTTCTGGTTTTGTTCTTTTCTAGCTGCATAGATGAATGGTTTGAAGTAAATAGATCTTGTCCAGAGCACCCTTCAGATTAAGCATCAGATTCCTGTATTATGGGTAATTGTCTCTTTTTAATTGATTTATAAAATACTATTTTGAATTACTATTTCATCTTCAGATTTTTCAACTTTTTTAATGTGTGTGTGCACATGTGTGAATGCATACATGAGAGTGCCCGCTGTGTATGATCATACACAAACCTTGGTATGTGTGTGGAGATCAGAGGACGGTTCTGCCCTTCTACACATGTGGTCCATTAATTGAGCTCAGGTTCTGAATCCATTCCCTTTGCTGCTGAGCTGTCTCTTTTACCTGTCCATTTTCTTACTGAGGTACATTGCTCTATTTCAGCTCTGTGTTTTCTAGGTATTTTGTAAGACTACTATATAAAAACTCACATTTAAAGATATACTAAGGAGGCTAAGAGTCTTGCTCAGTGTTTAAATGCACATTACTGTCACAAGCCCTGGGCTTAATTTCCAGCACCAAAAATCACTCCCATAACAACTGCAATAAAACAAAATAAAAATAAAAAGATTAAAAGCAGCTGTTCTTGATACTTGAATAGAGAGTTAGGTATTAAGTAACTATAATACTCTTGGTACATATGTCTAATTAATTATAGTTTAATACTAGGAGGAAACAAATAAACAGTAAGGTACATGTCATGACATTTTCCAAGAAGAATTCTTTCAGGGTCAGAGAGGTTAAGTCCCATGACTTGTATCACACTCATCAAAGTGTCTATTGTATATGCACAACTTTTTTATGTCATTTGCATCTGAGTCAAGTGGTTTAAAGAAAGAAGGCTGAGGGCATGCCTGCAAAGCATGAAGGCCTGAGTTCACATCCCAGAACCCATGTGAAAAGCTGGGCAGGTGGTCCACACTGAAATCCCAGTGCTGGGAGCAGAGGTGGGAGGGTCCCTGGAGCTTCCTGGCCAGCTAGTCTACCCTAGTTGGCAACCTCCAGATTTAGTGTGGGGCCATGTATCAAAAAATAAGGCGGAAAGCAATCGAAGAATTTATTGAATCTTGGAATGCTTCAGAGAACTGAGAGACTCCATGATCAAGGTGAGAACACTTATAGCCATCAGACTTGCTGAACAGCTGTTACTAGAAGTTGGGAGTGTTGTTCTGGGGTCTTGTTCTTTGCTGTCCTTGCATAATTTCTTGTGCTTTTAGGCCAGCAAGGTGCTCATTGTGTGTGTCAACTTGATATAAACTAAGGTCAACAGAGAGGAGGGGGAACCTCAGTTGAGAAAATGCCTCTAGAAGATTAGGTTATAGGCAAGCCTGTAGGGCAGTTTCTTAATTAGTGATTGATGTGAGAGGTCCCATTCCATTGTGGGTGGTATGCCATCCCTGTCCTGCTGGTCCTGGGTTTTATAAGAAAGCAGGCTGAGCAAACTAGTAAGCAGCACCTCTACGTGGCTTCTGCATCAGCTCCTGCTTCCAGGTTCCTGCCCTGCTTGAGTTCATTACCTGACTTCCTTTGATGATGAACAGTGATGTGGAGGTATGAGCCAAACTATTTCTTCCCCAACTCCAATTTGCCCCCCCCCCCTTTTCGGTTTTTCAAGACGGGATTTCTCTGTATTGTTTTGGAGCCTGTCCCGGAACTCACTCTGTAGACCAGGCTGGCCTCGAACTCACAGAGATCCACCTGCCTCTGCCTACTGAGAGCTGGGATTAAAGGCATATATCGCGGTTAAATAAGGATCAGGGTAAACAAATAGGCCGAATAGATGTTTATTCAGGGAGAAATAACTTACAACCTAGACAGATGAACACCAGGAAATTCTTCCCGATCCTCTCCTGCCCGAGTCAAGCCAGCAAGAGAGCTTCTTCCGGCTCTCCCTCCGACTTCCTTCCACAGGTCACTTCCGCCCATGTCTCCACCCCCCCCAATGGGCGTGGTCAGTGCCACAGAAGGACTATCTCACTACAGGCATAAGCCACCAACACCCTTCTTTCCAACCTGCTTTTGATCTTGGTGTTTCACCATGGCAATGATAGTCATAACCAGAACAATGGGTAAAAGTGCCTCTCACGAAGCCTGATAACCTGGATTCTATCCCTGGTACCCACATAGCAGAAGGAGAGAACCAATTCCCACTAGTGACTTTCACCCATTTGCCTGGCTCCACAGACAATAAATAAATAGTGTAATTAATATCTCTAGCTCTTTAGCCTAGACGTTGGGTGTTTGCCTCATTGGTGAGGGTAATGTTAATAGATTCCAAAGTGAGAGCTGCAGCTGGGTACATGCTAGAGCAAAGCAAGGGCACTGAGAGGCCGCCGCCTGGGAACTTAGGACCTGAAGCACAAATGGGGCAGAGCAGTGGAATGTAGTGAGGTTGTATCCAGGCATGCGCATCTGTGTTTTTATTTCAGTATTAGAAAGGTAGAGATTTTGTTGTTGTTTTATGGTGTTGGAAATCAAGCCCATGGTCTTGTACATGCCAGCAATTTACCCTGAGGTACATCCACAGACCCAGTAAAAGTTTCCTTTTGACATTGTTGTTTCAGAACTTGAACTTAAGTTCTGTTCTGGCTAGGTGATGCTCTGCTACTGAGCTGTATCCCTGACCTGAAAACATTTTCTGGATTGCAAGGATTCTTTGAAATACTGTCAAGTGTTGCCCTTTCTGGGTCAACACAGTTAGGAAAATTACTGAAGCATTTTAAAAGTAATACTGAAAACCAGTGCTAATAAAGTTTTGCTGAGTATGGTGGCAAAAGTTCTGGGTCATTCCAAAGTGCATCCCAGAATCTTTCATCTGCAGATAAACATGCTCCTTTAAGTCTGCACTGGTGCAGTCAGGGTAACTTAAGGAAGTGCCTGAAATGGTTGATGAGGAACAAAATCTTTGCTCAGAGTTTTACATAGAGTGTCTTTGATGATCTTTCTTCAGGTGTCCTTGAATAGCAGAAGAGTGGCCATTGGCCCTCAAAGGCTCTGTTGCTGCTGTAATGGAGATCAGGAACACTAAGACCACAGCAGACCTAGTTTTTTCTTTCATGGTCTCATCACTAAACTTTATTCTTTGATGTCACAGTGAGCTCATGGGATTTTGGAACACATCCCCTCTCATAGTTACCAGCATATCTCTGTTAACCTCAGACAACATCTCTGTTATCTTAACATCTTAGTCCATTATTTTTAGGGGTGTTTCTGCACATGTCACCTGAGCTTTGAGATGAACGTATGTGGGATAGCTTGATCTTTCTACATAGCTACCTGCAGAAATCCAAACCAACGGAGTCTATTTTTCCAAAAGCTAATTACTAACCCAAAATAGAGACATGAATATGCACAGTCTTGATTAATTATGAAGTTGCTTCCTGCTTTTTTTGGGGGGGGAGTTAATTTTAAGTTTGAGAGGGTGTGTATATACCTGCTCATATGTGTACTTAAGCACTTAGTGTGGAAAAGGAATGACTTAAGTTTTGCTGATTTCTTAATACTATGTTAAGCTTTAATTGATCATTCTGTTTCTTGATTTGTTCTGCAGAATAATTTTATAAATTTTTGACATAGTGAAAGGGGTGGCATGAAAGGCTTTAGTAATGAAGCACTCTTTATGGGGAATTCAGTGTTGTATTTCTATTTCTGTTACTATTATTGACAATGACTTAGAATACATTTGTTTTTATGCAGGTTTCTTGTCTTTTCAAGATGCTTGAGAAGTCTAGAAGATTTGAAGATCTGTCTCTGGGAAACAAAAATACTGCAGGCTTGCTCAGCCAGGATCTGAGTTCTGTGACACTCAGTAGTCCAGAGATGGTCAGGAACCACAGAACTCAGTGTACCAAACTTGCATATAAGGGACACACAGGGATTTTGAAAATGCTGCACATCCTGTACTAGTCACTGCGTAGATAATACTGATAAACATTTTGTATTCAGACGCCAAAGTTAACTAATTTCAAAGTTGATTTACTTTTTGTTAAGTCTATAGAGCTGCTGTTTTATTGTATTTGTTTTGTTTGTTTGTTTTTAGTTTGGGGACTTTTTATTTTCCCCAACAGAATGTTTCTGCATTCACCTATTCTTAACTTGAAAAGCACCCAATTTAGTTCTTACAAACTCTTCAATGTGAAACCAAGAAGTGTAATCAAAACAGTTATAATACTCTGCGAATGGACAGAGTGTAATCTCAAGTTCTTCCATTTTTTCCCCCATGTGTGAAAAATAGATTTCTGGGTAGGAGAGCTAAAATATGTTAGTGGTTTGAATTAAAGGTTTAATATTATTTTTAAAAATGCCATCCAAAGAGTAAATCAAGTTACATAATTACATTTTAGTTAATTAAATGTAGAACTGTCTACTGAATTGCAGTTTCTGAAATACATTGTTTCTTCTGAAATAAAACTTCGCAATAGCTTGTTAGCAGTGACCATCCTGCAGCTATGCAACTTTGAGAAGTCCAGATTTGCAGGTCTTCGTGCCGGGGCCGCAGTGACTGTCCTAACAGGGATCTTTCCTTCCTTTCGTGTAACTACTTCATTGTACTTTGCATTTCCAGGCAGTTTTCCCATGTTTAGTGAAATGTTTAGCAAGCTGTAAACTTAATACCTTATGAAAAGGGTGAAATAAACTCGTCTGCAGTGGGACTTGTAGTAATTTGAGGGACATTTTATATACTTTTGAAAATCAGAATTTAATTGGGATGCCAGATTTCTAGCAACTTGCATCTTTAGTTTTCCAGATAGTCTGGAAGTTAGCATTTGATAAATGATTTTTAAGCAAATATAAAGATTTTGTTAATTTATAATTTATTGATGTGTTGTTACTGTAATTGAAAATGTTGTGGATACTTTTAAATTCAGTCTTTGTAGAAAGAACTGTATTGAGCAAAATTATGTGAATAAATATTCCCCTAAATACATCTGATGGTTAAGAATACTGGAAGAGAGCTCTCAGGGCTGCAGCAGTGAGTGTCTTTGTAAATCATCATCAGAACATCAACAAGTAGGTTTCTCGTTTGGCTTCCTGGGGAGAATGCTGCTGCCCTGGTCTGGCCCACAATGAGCAGCCCTGCTTCTCTGCTGAGCTGTCCTGAGGTGTTGAAGTGTGTGCTTCTCTGATGCTGCTACTCTGGCCGCTGTCACATTTGTTCCCCAGCCCTGTTGCTTCTGCTTCTACTTTTCTAAGCGGGCAAGGGCAGGAGGGTGGGGGCAGGACATAATGGAAAGAACTTGCATTGCTTTCCTATGGTTGTAGGCCAGATTGTACCTTCCTGCACTTCCTCACTGTAGGCTACCTGTTATGATCCGTAGTTAGCGAGCAGATCCTCAGTGTGAGGGCTGCTAGCATATCTCTGTAGCTGCTCTCCTCGTCCAGTTGTAGGAAGTGACTCTTCCCTCAAGGGGAATTTTCTTACAGTTTTCCTGTTAATATGAAACCTGAATCTGAACCCATTTTACTTCATCCTCTAGTTTGTATGCTTTCCTCTCCCCTCTCATGTCCCCCAGGGAAGAGCTCTTTGGAGTGAAAAACACTTGGCTTTCTACTACTGCTGTATTGTTGTGGTGAGAATTGCTTCTGCTGTCTGCAGAGCAGAGCGCACCCATGGTAATTAATGATTAGGAGCCCCTGGAAGGTGACTGCTTTGTGCCGAGATCAACCTCTTGGGCGCCTGGGCCTGGGTTTGGCGTCCTTTGTTCACACTGCCCCCAGCGCCCCTCGTTGCTCCTGTCTGCGCCTGCTGCCTCCAGCTCCTGTGGTGTTCAGAGCTCAGTCAGCGCTGCCATGCATGCGTGTCAAGGACACTGACGGACTTCGAGCTTGTCTGGACAGTATTTACTGACATCCAGTAAAACAACCCTTATCTTCCCCTCAACTTTTATAAAGTCGGCATTTTTACTTTATGTTCTGTCTGCAATGATTTCCTATAAAGAATAATTTAGAAATAAAAGAATGGAGAGGAGCCCAGATGTTCCAGTTTCTGTTCAAGGTTACTACTATTCTGGGAATGTTCTGTAAGTGATACTTTATATAACATTGCTTACAATATTTATCAGTCTGTATGTAGACACTGAGTAGCATCAGTCATAAAATTATACTAGCTGTTTGAATATTTAGCGGAAACTACTGATAGTAAATACTATGAAGATGAGATAAAAATTGGGATCCTCACTTACCCAGCCAGTCATCACCTTCTAGAATCTTTGTGAATGCTCTTCACAAAGGTCACACGTGTAGAGAAGGAGGTGTTCTCTAGTGCCACTCTGTCCAACTTGAAAATTTTTACTTTAATCTGGCTGTTTATTTCCTTTTGGCCAGGAAATGTAAGAGAAGCCCTGTCCCCTTTAGAAAACCATTCTCTTTCTTTGGCTCCTCTCTAGAGAAATGGACACTGATTTCCAAACTTAGTTATAAAACAGACTGTAAGGTTGTTTTAATAAAATAAGCAGTGGTCTCTGACGTGTGTGTGTGTGTGTGTGTGTGTGTGTGTGTGTGTCTGTGTGTGTGTGTGTGTGTGAGTGTGTGAGTCATGCTGACTGTGGGAGCATATAGCTTTGGGCTCTCTAGGGCACGTCTTCTGCATTCTTAAATGTTACCTACTTACTCTGGTTTTCACTGGTTTAGATACTAGGATGCAGCCCAGAATAACCAAGGACGAGCCTGAGCATAGCTGCAGTACGCAGAATAAGGGTGTTTCCATCCGAGAGCGTTGTCAGAAACAACAGACTTTTCCAGGCCTTACCTCACACTGTGGCTCTGAGTCTGGCTGTGGCGGGCTTTCAGAGCGCTCACATCCCACTGGACATGGTGGCTCATTCCACACTCAGGAAACTGAGTTAGGAGGGTTGCCACGAGGTGCAGGCAGGCCTGGGCTGCAAAGTGAGTTCTAGACTAGCCTGTCTTTTAAAAAAACCAAAAGAGATCATTTTAATATGTTACAGCAAGATATAGGCATATTCCTTTCAGGAAAAGGGATCATGAATTCAATGTAAATAGTCCCTGCTTTTCTGTGCTGACTTGAGTGAGGTAAGGGCTTTTCCCAACAGGAAACTCTCCAAGTCGAGTGTTTGTAGTCTGACTGCTAGCCGCAATATGTATTGGCCACAGGATTAGGGTAGCCTGTGCTTCACACAGGAGATTTCCACCGAAACCAAATCAGCTCGTCAGGAACATACAGTGTCTAGAGGCAAAGACACAACACTGTTGTCAGCCATGCCGTTTGCTGGTTGTGGGTGCTCTGGTGCATTCGGCCATTTTTTCTGTGGGTTTGGTTTGCCCTGGTGTAAACTCACTGATGGAGATGAGACATGAACTGTCCCTTGTTACTCACTGTACAGATACTTTAACTTGACTTTTAAAAATTCTAGCATGTCAGTACTTTGGAGCCAATTCTACTAAATATGTAACTTCTAATATTTTCTTAGCTGTGTGATAGGACTGTAGTTACCTGTTTCGCTGTCTACTTTTTCCTTCCCACATCGCTGAGTCTGAGTGGCTGCTGCTTGCTGTACTCCTGGGACTAACTCACATTCTGAAGTCACTGGTGATAATGTACCCAACTAATACTTTATACCATACTCTGTAAATGTTTTGCTTAAGCTAGGAAATAGACTTTTTTTTTTTAATCAAAGAGTTCTGTCTTAAATGGAAAATAACTGATCGCCTAAGTCTGTTGACTTTCTGTGAGAAATAAAAGGCCTTGAAATGTTAACATTTAGTTTCAGTTTAATATGCACTGTCCTTGTCCTCACTGGTTTGTTATCAGATGTTCAAACTATTTGTAAGTTTTTGATCAGTAGCTGATAATAAGGTAGTAGTTGTTGTTTTATTTTGGTCTCTTTGTTTATGGAGAAGCAAAGAGCAATTAGCATGAACTGAAATCCCCACAAAAAAAAAATGAAGGATGTGATACTGTAGCATATATTAATATTGTTTGTTTCTTAGCTCTGGCCCTGGGCCATGAGGATCTCAAGATTGGACATAAGATGTTACATTCTCCTGTCACTAAGAAGACATTTCTGATTATTAAGTTGGAGTTGAAATGGACCTATCATTTAGTTGTGAAATTTCACAACTGCCTGCCTTTTACTAGCAGTAACTGTGGCATCAGAAATGTTTCCTTCCTTAGCCAAGCAAGTGCACAGCATCTGGTATCTGAGCGCCCAAGAGGCAGAGGCAAGGATCTTGCGCTACACAGTGAGTTTGAGACCAGCCTGAACTACAAAATGAGAGCTTGTCTTGAAGTTTGATTGTAGGCTTGTTAGAGTTCTGTCATACGGTGAAGAGACTGGTCTAGGAAGAAACAACAGGAACATGGACTTGGTGGCGCCGATTAACAGTTTGTTGCATTTCTTTGCAGATGACTTGATTGAAAATGACAGTATTTATACCTCTATTGATTTGTTCCTGGTTTCTGCAACTCTTCTATAATACCTCTTAATTTCTTCTATTAGAAAGTACTAAATTGTTCTTGTTAAATAAGGTCCTGGGAGCATCGATCACAAGAAATAGAGAAAATGTATTAGGAACAGCTTGTATTAGTGTGATCTAAATAGAAAGGGAAGAATTCATCACTGATATTTTAATAAATAAGTTTTCCAAATGATCTTATTAAACTGTCCTGTTACTTAGAAGTAGAAGACAAGAATGCTCTTAAAGGAAGTTGTCATGCCCTACCTTATGTCTTTAAGTTGATGGTGCATTACAATAAAACAAATATTTGAATGCTGAAAAGTTGCCATGCTTTAATTGATGTTATGGCCTCTTTGTTTTATTTATTTATTTTACCCATAATAACAAAGCTAAATCCAAAATTGTCAAAATTTCTCATTAGCTTGTGGTAATGGACAATGATTTCATTTCTGTATTTCCACAACTGTAAGTATAAAGATGAACTTTGAAGTACCTGATGTAAACCTTGTATTGTTAACCAGTGAAATGCAGGTGGACTGCTGTTGGGAAGGACTCAATGGGTATGCAGTCACACTTTGTAGACTTCATTTGTTTCATAGCTTGCCTTAATTTTTGGAAGCAGTTTTTAATATATAAAACCATTGGGTTCTGTAGTGAAGTGATTAAGAAACTACTAGGCTTTGGGGCTGGTTCTCCTGGTCTTAGGCATCTCTGGCCATGTGTTTTATTCTCTGATCTTCTGGTACCAGAGCTCTTGTAGTAAGTAGAAGGTATATGTATTCAAAGTCAGATATATGGTATACATGAATGTTGATTATATTAAACAAAATCATTTATATTCATTTATATGATTTTTGTTAATATGCTTACCATGAAATGTGATAACATCTGAGATCTTAACCTGTATTGAAAGAAGCCATGGCATAACGGAGCATTGTGGGTTCTAATTTCCATTCTCACCATTTACTGAAAGAAAGTGGTATTTGAGCAGCTTTACATTAAGCAGCTTTTGATTCCATGCTATCTTGGAATTAGGAACATAGTAATGAAAGATGGCTGGTATCAAGGAGCCGAATTTAAGTTACCCTTGCACGCTAGGGAGTAATAACCTGTTGCAGACATATTACTATGTAATAATATGACTCAGAAGAGATGGGAGCATAATTAAATCCTGAAGAATAGATGATTCAGAGCTCTGGAGAGTGTGGGTACAGGGATACGTACGATGTGTACAGTAGACAGAAAGTGAGAACCCTTGATGAGTGTCTAGGGAGGCCAGCAAGCGCAGATGGCGTGTATGTCTTAACTGTGGTTAGAGGACTAAGGAAAAAAGACAAGTAAGCTAACATTTCAGATTGGGGAAGGTGAGACTGGAGGCAGAAAGGCCTGTTAGGAAATCTGTAGTAACTCAAGAGATGAGAGAGAGAAAAAGAAGGCAAGGATAGGAAAACCTGGAAACTTAGGAAGAAAAGCTGATTCACCTCAGCAGTCATCTTTGTAGAAAGGGATAAAGAGCTACCAGGACAACTCATTGTAGAGTGAGTGAGTGTGTGTGTGTGTGTGTGTGTGTGTGTGTGTGTGTGTGTTAAAGAGCTACCAGGACAACTCATTGTAGAGTGAGTGAGTGTGTGTGTGTGTGTGTGTGTGTGTGTGTGTGTGTGTGTGTGTTAAAGAGCTACCAGGACAACTCATTGTAGAGTGTGTGTGTGTGTTAAAGAGCTACCAGGACAACTCATTGTAGAGTGTGTGTGTGTGTGTGTGTGTGTGTGTGTGTGTGTGTAAAGGTTGACCCTACCTGGGAAAATCTGATTATGCCAGAAATATCCTAAAGAACCAAAAATAAGAAATTTCTAAATTTCTGTTTGAAAATGAAGTGGGGGACCAACACATGGCAGTTTCTTCAGGGCCACAGTGCCTTAGGGTTGGTAGTGCTGCCAGCACTAACTGCTGTTTAGAGAGTGAAGGGCCCAGAGTTACTTAACTCCAGCTTGGTCAAGTTGGACTTCTCTGGAAGCCCCATTGCCTTAGCTCCTGTTGTTTTGGCCCTTGCTTAATGAGTGCCAAGCTGCACCCTGAAACACTTGAGAGTTTTGTGTTGGGTTCATTTTCCATGCCCTTCCCATTGTACCTGACTTTAAATCTTGACAACAAAAAGTAAAGGTACTAGTTGTGTTGGATTCTTATATATACACATACATCCGTGTGAGCCTGTGGTCATGGTGATAACTGCTCTTTAAGATAGGTTGGGTTCTGCTCTGTAGAAGGATCAGAAGGCTACTGGTTGCTGCTTCATAATCTTTGTTGTTGAACAAAGGACAAAAGGGACTGTTAAAGGCTTTCTTGGAGGAGTAGCAACCTCAGGGTAGCTGCATGGGTCAAGGAGCAGCCTAGTGATGATTTGTCTAACGGTACATCCAAGACACCACAGATTGCTCCAGAATGACTTGGGTTTCCTTCAGAGGACAGGAACTCACAGACCTGTGAAAATAGAAACTTAACATATCCCAGGATGACAAAAGCCCTTGTTTATATATTTTAAATAAAATGCTTTAAAAAAAAAAGTCTGCATTACTTAATGCAAATATAAAACTTAAAATTTGGCAAATAGTGCTTTATTCCTCTAGTAATATTTTCTGTGAGTTCTTGAATTTGCTATTTTATGGGATTCAAGTAGAATATAGCCAAAAAATAACTTCCCAATAAAATAAACTTTGATTTTTCAATATTTCTGATTTATTTGGTCCTTTAGGAGCTGAGTAACCAGGACTTTAACTGAACAGTGGCTGCATAGTGTTAGCTATATCGTGAAACAACTTCAGGAAAATATTCAAGCCCTTGGTAGCTCATTAATGCCTCAGGTGTTTAGTGTTAGGTCAGGTGTGGTGGCTCACATCTGTCTCAGCACTCAGAAAGCAGTTTGAGGTCGCCCTTTCTACATAGGCAGAGACAGCTTGGGCTACACAAGACCCTGTCCCCTAAAAAAAAAAAAAAAAAAAAAAAAAAAAAAAAAGTTGCATTCCAGTGAGACAGAAAAGCTGCCCTGATTCTGTTCCACTCAGATAAACCTTTCTTCCGCTCTCATCCTTCAGGGGAGTGTGTGAAGCTGTGCTGAGAGGAAGTTGATATTTGCTGTTCATAACAAAAAGGTTGGGAATAACATAGTTTAGGAACCATAAGAATAAACTGGGTATGGTGGCACATGCCTATAATTTCAACACTTCAACCCAGGATGGTTGCTGTGAATTTGAGGCTAACTTGGGCTCCATAGTAAATACCAGACCAGCGAAAGCTACATTCCTAGACTACTTAAGTTCAGAAAGCAAACACTTTGAAACACGGTTCTTGAGTAGGCATGGGTTGGTCCTAGGATCTTGGGAGGAACAAGGGAGGAAGGATTGTTGCATAAGACAGTGGTCTCATACATTGTACCAGACCCATATGCTACTAAGAACCAGTGTGAGCACTGCAGATGCCAGGCAGACTTGGTGGCCCAATGGCATGTCCTAATCAAGCTATTTACTTTTCAGAGCAGCTTTACTGAGTTTACGTATAACAGAAGCGCCTATGGAAACAGCATCTAAGGAATTAGAAATGCATCTGCGTGACAGAATGTTGTTATCATCCTCAAAGTTGCCTCCTGTCCCTTGAGTTAGTTCTCTCCATCCATCAACCCAAGCCACCATTGTCCAGTTCATGTTGTGTATTAGATGAAATCAGTATGGTTTTCCTCAACGTGACTGAAAAGCATTACTTGAGACAGTTTCCTTCAGAGAATAGCATTCTGTTACTTGAATATGCTGTTAATCTATTAGTGTGAACCTCAGCTGTTTTTACTTTGTGTTGTTATGAATAAAACGGTTATGAACACTTATATACATTGTGTGGGAACATATAACTTCAATTTTCTTCAATAAATTTTGGTGATAAAATTGCTGAGTCATGTGGTGTTTACATCGTAAGACATTGCCAAGTTGTCACAAAGTTATGTTTCACTTCCCACTAATACCACACCTCATTGGTACACACCTATAATCCGATGTTGAAGAGGTGGAGGCAGGAAGGTTAGGAGTTCAGGGCTAGCCTCAGCTACATACCAGGAGTTCAGGGCCAACCTCAGCTACATACCAGGAGTTCAGGGCCAGCCTCACCAGGTTTAAGGCCCGTGCTTCATGAGGTCCTTTCTCAAAAAAGAAAGAAAGAAGGGAAGAAAGAAAGAAAGAAAGAAAGAAAGAAAAGAAAGAAAGAAACCAGGTGATGGTGGCACACATCTTTAATCCCAGTACTTGGGAGGCAGAGGCAGGCAGATCTCTTGAGTTTGAGGGCAGCCTTGTCTACAAGAGCTAGTTATAGGACAGCCTCCAAAGCAATACAAAAAAACCTGTCTCAACCCCCCCCAAAAAAAGAAAATGATAAAGTGCTTCGATTATCAGTCATTCACCATCCACTCTTCCCCAGCCAGAGAACCCTCTGACCATCATACTCTCTGTAGGTCTGCATTTCTGGTTATCTAGCCCATGTCCATGGACGTCAATATGCTCTTGCATTTGACGTTGTTTACCTTAATCTTCAGCCATGCTTAGTGCAAACAGTTGTCCTTATTTTAGTGAATACTGTAATACATGTGGCTCTGCCACATTTTATCTGTCCACTAATTGGTAGAAACTTTTGTTCCTGCTTTTGTGGATGGCTGTTCTGACGAATACTGGTTTGACCACCTACCCTCATGTCTGTGTGGGCATTTGTTTCCAGTAGGTGCTGAAGAGTGGAATTGCTGGGTCATGTGCATGCAGCTCCCTTCCTCTCTTTTGGTCTCATCCTCCAGACCTCTAGATTCCTGGCTGTACTGCCCTCTGTTCCAAGTGAGTCTCTTGTCCCTGTGCTGATGACCACATTGGTTTTTCCCTGATTTTGTACCTTCTACATCAACACTGTTTCCAACACTGACCTACACCAGAGTTTCTGCCACTTTACTCCCAGTCCATTTGGTACTCCTGGCAGGCTCCACCCTGGTAGACTACTCTGCCCCTGAATCTGCTCTATTGTATACTTTCCATCAGTTTCCAAAGTTTGTCAAGGCTGGGTTAGGGTGTGGTGCTTGTGTGTGTGTAAACCTGTGGTCATTAGGCTGTTCAGTTTTTACTTGATTCAAATTCCTTATAGACTTCAAGGTTGGGGGGCCGTACACATATCTTATTAGGTGATCTGTAAATGCTAGTCTATGGATAGCCTCAATGAAAATGTTCTATTTTAATGTCAGTTTATTAGTGTGTTCTTTTCCTGTCTTCCTGTCTTTTGTCCTAAGAAATTCTCGCTTAATACAT